GGAACAATTACATGTTCTTTCATAATCTTTGTCCTTAAGATTGTATGTTCCACATTACTGCATGATCTTCTCTACTGAAGATGTTGCTATGGTGAACGAAGATAAGTTTCTTTCTATTTCTCCTACCTTATCCATTGTCAGCTAATGTTAGCTATCTGATTTCATGGCCTTCTCTTTTTCCAAAAACAGCTTCTTCGTTTGGCATTTCTCTCTGCTTAAATGATGATATTCACTGGTGAAAATCTCAACCAAAATGTTGTTTGCATAAGAAATTAATAGGGATTCACTTAATTTGCACACCCTCTTACATTATTCTTTTTTTTAGTTTGAGTATTTTTGCCTATATTTTTCAACAGAAGTCTCCTCAAGACTAAGGAGAAGGAGAAGTCAGAATGATAACAAAAAAAAGCACCAATATTTCAGCATTGCAACACAAGCTCTGCCCTATAAGCCATGGCGGCTCAGTGGTTAGAATGCAGATCGAATCCCACCAGGCTCAAGGTTGACTCAGCCTTCCATCCTTCTAAGGTGGGTAAAATGGGGACCCAGATTGTTGGGGGCAATAGGCTGACTCTCTAAACTGCTTAGAGAGGGCTATAAAGCACTGTGAAGCAGTATATAAGTTGAAGTGCTATTGCTATGCATGCCCTACAACAAAGAGGCGGAGCTTGTGGTACAATATTCTGACACTTACAAAAACAAAAAGCTTATGCAGATGCTGTCTTCCAATCTCTCAACTGCATGTCCCTGGTCCATATTGGTTATGTACAGCTGTTAAAATTAAAAAAAAAAACCCTCTTCCCCTGCAGTTTTAAAAGTTTAGTGGCTATATCAACTGGATCTAGGACAACTTGCCTCTGCCAACTCATTGCCATCAAGTTTCTCCCTCCAGCTGTTGATGGTGAGCTGTCCCCATGGTGAGTTCACAGTATGGAGTTAGTGGCAAGATGATTGTGATGAGCTGGTAGCATCAAGTTGTCCAATTCCAATGTAGCTGGCGATCTACTATCTGTAGTATTTTACCTTCTAGACAGGTTGGTACCTGAATATATTAGATATTTTATCACTCTATAATCCCACCTGTAAAGGATGTAGGACACCCTTTCCATCTTCCTTTAACCTCATTTCTTCTATCAGGTCTCTTTTACTGTTAAGTATGCCTGTCATAGCTGTAAATTTGCCTGTGATTTATCTGATCTTCTCTAAAAGATTCTCATTTTTCTTTTCTCACAATAGTCCTCCTTATGATTGAGATTTTTTTCCTTGCCTTTTCTTCTTCTTTCATTGAGTCAGCTACATCCATCTTGTTGCCCAAGGCTTTCATCCAGTTTTTCTCAACTAACACAACAGTGAATCCTGAGAGACATGTGAATCTTTTCCTCTTTAGAATTTTGGGACTATTTTTTTCTACATCCATGTCATATTACAATAATTCTTCTCTCTTTCCGTTGTTTTAAATTTCCCATAATTTAATTGTTCAAGTTTAACCTGCCCGGACTTTCATCCTATACCAAATATTTCTATCAAACCTTGAAAACACAATTTCTTTAAAAGTACAGCAAGATTTTTGCCTGAAAAGAGAGGGGGGAGGGGAGGGGAGGGGGAGGAGGGAGAGAGGAGGGGGACAGAGAGGGAAGGAAGGAGAGAGGGAGAGACCAGTCACTCCCCCAGAATGTACAACTCTAATTTTTATTCTGTTTCTTGCTGGGTCTATATCAATGGTTGGGTTGGCAAGAGCACAGGACTACAAACAGAGAATTAATGACATTTGAACTTCAAAAGACTTCACTTTATTCCAACTATATTTTATTTTTCTTTCTTACAACTCTCTTCTTGATAATACTGAATAGTCCAGCATTCAGCTAATTCATCTGTTTTGATATCAGTACTGCTCCTTAATAGAGCAAGTGAATACTTCAAAGAAGGTGACTTCCTTTGTTTTAGACATTTTTTTTGCCTTTCTCATTGGTGAAATTTTGTTATTTACATTTCTTATTTTGACTTATTTGCTTTCAGTTCTTTATACATAAATGTCTATCTTTGTCCCTATCTCTTGATGCAAAAATATTAGTTTTCATAACAATGAAATTATTCTTTGTATAGATTAAATACTCACCATAATTTCTTAGGTAACCTTAGATATATTAGTTATCAGTGGGGCTGTGATTACTCAACAATTATTCAGAAGAAGGGGTTTTGGAACCAGCACAAGATCAGTATTATTAAGAAAGCAGTCCATTTCTACCACCAACACCCCCAGGTTTCCATGTAAGCCTTAGAGAAACAGGTGTTGCCTTAAGGAGGCAACTCAAATTAATGTGATTCTTAAAGCAATCAAAATTCACTTTTGGGGTAACACTAAAGCCTTTAGAATGTTGAACTGCTTCAATGAATAGCAGGAAGAAGCTGTACTAACAGTAGATACAAATCACTTTTTGAAAATCATTTCTGAAAATGGCAGTCCATCATTAATATAATTATTCCTTAGATTAAAAACCAATGCTAAGTATTAAGAACTGTTAGCCATGGTACCCCACTATGATCATTTGGCTTGCATTACCATATTAGCTTTGTTTTTGACCTTTTTCTGGTGTCATCCACCACATAGCCCCCCCCCCCCCCCCCCCCCCCCCCCCCCCCAAAAAAAAAAAAAGATTCTAGCACAGGATTCTAAGTAAGCTGATTTAGGGGATTCTTGGCTAAATAGAGAAGGGTATAAACTTCTCTCTTAAATAATTTGCCATTCTGCTAAATTTCTAGAGGTATAGATAGCTGCGTTAATTTTTGGCACAAACATAATAAAGAATCAAAACATTAAAGACCAACTCCAATGCAATACCTGAATGAATTCAAGATTGTTAGAAGTAAAAGGGAAGAATATAAAATTGGTTTGTTTGACCAAGATTAAAATAAGACATGTTTCTACAAGGCTCTGGTACATCCTTTCAGATTTTTTGCTGACATCAAGACTGATAACTTGATGATTTGTGGATTTGCAAATAGATATGTGATGGGTTATAGGAAGAAAAAATATTTGTTTATAGCCTCATACGGGGCAAAGGGTTATTAAGTTTCTTTATACTTATTGTGATGAAGATCAGAAATAACTTATATACGGCCCAAGGCTAATCAATAAAGATTGAATTGAATTGTACATATGAGTTCTAGCTTTCTGTCACTCCTCATTTTGCCTTTAGTTTGCATTTGCTTCTAATACTGTAATTAAAATCTTCAATAAAAATTATATTTAAAAAAAGGAAGAGACTGGTAAGAGGTTTTTTAAAAAAATAAGAGAGAGAATTGAGTTAGATCGTAAATAAAATGTCAATAATAACAAAGGTTTTCTTCTAGAAAGATTTTTTTTTTTTTGCAGTTGCAACAATGAAGAGGATTGTAGCACTTGAAAACACAGTCCATCTGTTCTCATACAGGTAACCATTATTTGGAGAGAGAATAGAGAGAAGAATGGTGAAAGGAAAAATAAGAGATGGGAATGTTCTTCTCTTAATACACACCTTTATCATTTTCATTCCCTCTTCTACCACCAACTATTGATTATTTATTGATTATGTGCCAGCAAGTGGGTGTCGACTCTAAGCAACCAAATAGATTTTCTCTGTTACAATCTATCCCCAACCTGGTCCTTCAGGACTTCCAGTCATGCATCCCCACCGTAATTTAGTCCATCCACTTGCCACCCCAAGTAACTCTGTGCATAACTGTCAGATCCGCCATTACACTACTTCAGCTTCACTTCACATTGATGGCATCCTGCCATAAAAGTGGCAAGGTAAGGGAACACAGGAAGTGGGAATGACAGGACACAGAGGTGTGAATCGGAGACAATGGTTGAGAGATCCAAGGACACAACTGTGACAATGGAATGCAAACATCAACCAAAAAGGCGCCAAATCCAGAATTGTTACCAAAACAATGAATTTGAATACTTTTGGACACTGACCAGATGGCCAAGGGGAGGATGACCTGGGAGAACCTGGGGAGAAGGAAAATGTACCATATTTACATGGGCATATTCAGATCTGACTTTGTATATGCTGCAACCACTTGACCTTAGTAAAAGCATACCTTTTCTCAACAAAAATGGAGTTAAGGGTCTTTCTTTCCTAAGTGTCCAAAGTGGGACAGGGCTGACACTAAGATTACTTGTCCAAGGCTGCAAACCACTGAACAAAATAATCTTTGAACTGATTTTTTTAAAAAGAGGACATGTGGGAATACATTGGAAGGGAGCACTTGCCCATTAAGAGAGGGAAAAGACACATCTGTTCTTTGTTATCTATGGTGTGTGTTTTCTTATATAATGAAGTGGTTTAGTAATTCATTTTATTCAAAGTCTTCAACTAATTGAAACAATAATGAGCTTTCTAAAGGAGCACTTGTTGTAGACTTCTACAATAAAGTAGAAGGCTTTTCTTTACACAGAAGTTCAGAAAAATAAGTGAAGTAGAAATTATCTGGGACATCATCCATTTCCCTGAGATATACCAGTTTAATTTATTTTCCTGTCTAACCTGGAAGATTTGCCTTTCAATGTCTTTTTTTTTATTATTGTTAGCAACTTGCCTACAAGCTTATGCCTGAGACACAGTTCACCTTAAAGTGAATTTCAGAAACTATTGCTAGAAGCCATAGAAAAAAATAGTTATCATGGGGGGCAAGCATCTGGTATTCGGCGTAATAACATGAAGAAGCAATGCTTTTACTCTGTAGGTAACTTTTGCATGGTAACTAAATGGGAAATACAACGGCAGGATTCCAACATTGTGAAAGTTCTGGAATGCCTTCCCATAAATCCATGCACATCCTTTTAAAAAAAAGGAAGTTAATAGGTTGGCTTTTAAAAAAAACCAACTCTCTCAAAGTGTAGTAAAATTTCCAAGCAGTTTTAAAATGCATTGGAACAAAATTGCTGAAATAATATCCTAAATATTTAAAGAATGCATTTAAAAGTTAATAGTTTCCTGACAGAAATATTGTACCTGAGCCCTGTTGTGAACTTCCCCAAGGAGTACAGAATATTGCTGTTCCAAGTCTTTCTTCTGCTTTAACCAACAGCTTTCTTGAGCTTTCATCTGTTCTGCAAATTTCTTCAAAGTCTCTTCTTGGGTTTGTTGAATCTCCTTCATTGTATCTGACTTATTTTTACAAACATATTCAAGGTGTGATACCTGCGTGATTGGCATTTTAAAAAAAATCATTCAATCTTCTCAAACACAGTTCTATTTTAAAACAGACGTTAATAATACATTCAGGATGCTATAACTAACCCCATAATCCACAAGGAATTAAGTACCACTTCTTAGCTATGGAAACCTACCAATCAGATTTCCTCAGCCTGTGACCTGTGAACTGTATCTTTTACTATTTATACTTGACTAGCCTTTCTAACGCTGAAAGTTTTAGGATTAAATTTCTGTATCAGCCCATCAATGTTTAATGCAACGTGAATATGAAAGTGAGCACAGTGATTGGATTTTCTCAGAACAGTATGTAATTCTAGACCTATTTCTGGGTGAGTTGTTGGTTTTGTTGTTGGTAGCTGCTGCTGCAGTTTTAAAAGAGTTGTACCTCATGTTGAAAAAATACCTCAATTAATAAAATGTAAGTCTTTTACAACAGAAACTATACAAAGGATATAAACTTATCCCATGAGTAATACATTTTTATAGGAAAGCAGCCCAGTTGATGAAGAGTTGTTGTTTGTCTCACATGTCACATTTTTTATAGATAATAACATTGGATGCTGTAGCAGCAGGAACCACGAAGAGTTTTCATGGGGAATGGACTGGGAGTCAGCTAAACCATACAAATAGTTTGTACTGGGAACAGAAGCAACTTTTCATACAAAATGGTGCTAATGATTAAATGTACTAATGCCCATTTTTAAAGGGTATCAAAAATAATTTTTATATTGGATAATTCAGAGGCCTTCGAAACAAAGGTCTAAACCTTTTAAGCAGGCAACCATATTATTTTGCCATACTTTTTAAAGGTTGGTTGGTTTGTTAGAAGCTCTTGGTTTCATTTTGCCTTTGTGCCTCCAATTTTATTTCTTCCATTGTTTAAAAAACTGAATTGAACTTTATTAATCTAACAAGACTAAAAACCAGACTAAAACTATACTTGCTCAAAGTTAGCCAAAAATACAAATCTAGTTAAGCCCGCCTGTCAACTCCTAGAAGCATTCTACCCCACTGGGACGTTTGCCCAGAAGCTTATATCAGCAGGTTTCTTCTAGGTTAAGACACTGGTTGAATTTCTGATTGCACTCTCTGCTATCATTTTGCATCAACTGGTTCTTAAACTTAAAAATAAAGTTCCTTCGAGTTATACTTCATTTCCTATGGCTTGCCTTAAACCTGAATGTGAGATGAATGGCTCAGCTCATATGAAATACTTTTCTTCCTACCCTTGGGGAGCCTAATCTAAGTGAGGATCTAGAATTCTCCTAGATCACAGAAAACTATGGTCATAGTGAACAAGTCAGGAATGCAGATGGATGGAAGTGTTAAAATATAGGCTGTACAACTATTTGTACATAACAAAATGTTGTTTTTTTTTAAACTGATCTTATTTTACTAAACGTATCTTCAGCTAACAAGTCATGTCAATGTATGCATGAACTTCATTGTTAAGCTTTCTTAAACATTATCTTCTTTAAATGTATGATGTGTAGATTTGCAATTTCTATATATGTTTACAAATCCAAAAGGATCAAAGAGCACCTGGCGTTTCATAGAAACATTTCATCCCCCTTCCTCAAATAATTCCTCCAACCCAACAGCAAATATTTTAAAGAGGATGTTCCTTGAACAAGTGCATTTTGTTTCTGTTTTATGCTGAGATAAAGAGTTGGTTTATTAGTGTAAATGACTCAGTCCTTTGAATAGCTTCATCAGTAAGATTAATTTATTTTCTTTTAATTAGGTCCCTGTGGCTAACACTGGCTAATAGTATTAGCAAGTCCTGAACAGAAGCTGGAGCTTAGAGATTTCATACAGACTTCAGTCACATTTACATGCCCACAGCAATGGCATCAAACCGAGCTGTAGACAAGCCATAATTAACGGTACTGAATTATTAACACCCAAATTCTTTTTGAAATAAGATGAATGTCAGTCCTTTTTAACAATATTGTGATGTGGACAAATGTCACTGAATTTAATAGAGGTGTCTGGTGCCTGAGGACAGTACCTTCTCATTAGCCTTGTTGAGGTCTGAGATCAACGTATCAACATTTTCTTGCAAGACTGTGCAAAGCTCCGACCATGAGAATTTATCCAGGATGCCTTCTGATTTCTTTATAAGAACGCAGCCTGCTACCAAGTGCTGGTACAAAGTATGGAGGAAAGTTAGCTTCTCCTGCAAAATGCAATGCAATTTTTGAGACAAAAAGAAACCAATAAAAGGAAAAGAGGAACGGGAGAGGAAGAAAGAGTTAATGGCAAATATTTCTACATTGAAATGTTAAAATATAAATAAAAATAAATGAGTGTTCCAAAGTGATGACCTATGCTCAAGAAATTAATCAAAATCACAAAATAGATAATTGACTATTATATTTACACTAGGGCTGATCCTGGACCTGCAGACCTTTTATTTAAGCAGTGAGGGGTTTCCTCTTGTTTAGTAAGGTTTAGAATGCATAGCCTACTAAAGATCACAGAGAATCAGACCTTGTAGTACTTTTATTATTGTATCTATTAATAAAATGCTGGTGGCAATTTTTAATGAATAAAAAAGATCATACTAACAGTTTGCACAGGGAGTAAACTAAGTGTTAAACACAGAGCAGCTCTTGAAAAAACAACCGCTTGTTCAGCTCTACTTCTCCCCTATTTCACACCCAGAGTTTTTCTGCTACACACACACACACACACACACACACAATGAATAATTTGGAATACAAACAGGATTATGTAAAATACTATGTAAAATACTTTGACTTCTGAATTGCTAGTTTCATGTTTACTGCAGTATTTAATTTATTCTTATTGGTAACTTTATTAAATACTTTGAGCCAGGGATAATTAATGTAATTGTGCAGCAAAATTATAGTATATCATTGCATCTTTTTAAAAACTGCATGCATGCAACTCTTTAAATGAAGAACAAATCTGCTTGGAGAATAAAATAGTTCTTTTAACAGCTATACTGCTGACTTTGGACACTGAAACATTTTTTCATTATTGTAAATGGGAAAAGAGTCCCATTGTGCATCGTTTTGCTCAATGCAAAGGACTTTGAAACTTTTCTGTGAATCCCCAACCAAAACTTGAGCCTGTGATCCAAACCCCACTATCTTCAATGAAAAGATTTCCACTGCTCTTAGCGTGCTTTAGACGCAGTCCAACCCAAGCCATTTCCAAACAAACTTTACAAAAGCATTAACAACAGAATTATTGTTGTGATTCTTCCAACTCTAGTTCAGTGTTTAAATCAACCTGAAGAAAACACCAACAACACATGGCAAAATAGTAACAAAAAGCATTTCCATTCAGTCTTTCATTTCTCCTTGTTAATGTAATCTGTCGCCATTCTGTCCTTTTTGCTTGGGCTGTGATAAACCAAGCATAGTAATCATCCATTTGGCCTGGAAAAGGAATCCAAAGGCCTAGAATCAATTCACACATGTTAAACCCAACCACAATACTGTAGACATGCTGACTTTACAATATTGTCAGGCTTCTAGTTTCCTCTACTTTAATCACTATCTGATGAGTAGAACAATTCCAGCTGATTCATATGGACACAATTTAAATCCCAGACTGGAAGAAGGGTGGAAATAATGTTTCCTTTTAGTCGCTTGGCATTCTTTCTCAGATTCGTTAGAATAATGAGCTCAATATGTAGCACAATCGAAATAAAAAAATGAGAGAGAGAGAGAGAGAGAGAGAGAATATATTTAATATACCTAGTGCAGAAAAGCTGTGAGCGCAAAAGAAAATGAAACTCTAAACACAAGCAAATGATGGTATTTTTAAAACAGGATAAACATCAGGGTGGAAAGCATGTTTCAAAATAACACTTCATGAAACAATTACTGTACACAATACTATAATCAGCTGCTATCCAAAGAATAGGCAAGCTAAGTTGACTTTGTTGATGGGTGAGTAAAATGATATAGGTCCTTCTCATCTCTTGGACTTGCCATTTGAAACAGTTAATAGGGATTGGTGCCAAGGGATTAAACAGTTAATCTATTCCAAATGCAGACATATTTCGAATGTATGTATTTGCACTCAGCTAAACATTAACGTTCAAAAATTCCTTAGGCATATATTTTACATGTCTCATCTCAAGAGAATGACGATATTCTTTACATGTAAAGAATCAGATTAGTTGAGCAGTTGATATTTTTTAAATCCTAGTAACAATAACAATTTATTACATTTATATGCCACCCGATGTCCAGCAACTTTGGGTAGTTTATACATTGATTAAAACATTAAAAACAATAATGAGAAAGGAACAAGAAACAAAGGGGTAAAAATGGCGGAAAAATGGAAAAACAAGCCAGTTTACCCGTAAGTGGAAAAATAAAATCAAAACATAATGCCAGAAATAAAAGTTCACAAAAACATTGGAAAGCAATCATTTAGATTTCTTATTGCGGTGGCATAAATCTGTATCTGCAAAACAAATGATCTGATATATAGAAATATATATATATATAGAAATGAAAGGTAAAGATTAAATAATATTTCTGACAGACTTTTTCTGGCAATACCTCTGTATCCTTCTCATAAGTCTCTGTGAGCTTCTGAATTTCATTTTTATATTCTGTACAATACACTTTCTCTTTCTCCAAGCAATGCAATACGTTTTGTAGTTCCATTTTTAATGTAGCTATTAAAGATTCTCTGTCTGCACACTTAGTTTGCAGATTATTTAACTCCTTCTTGGTATCAGTCAGACTGTCATGTTTTACCTAAAAATAGTATATAAAAAAGGAAAGATAAAGGTTTTATGCAATAAAGCACAACCTTCTTTATCTGATGACTCTTTTCAGATATACTTGTCTGAATGTCCCGCAAACAAGACCATTTACCCCAAAGGCTAACTACAATAAGCAAACCACAGAATTTAAATTTAAATTAAACAAAGCAACTAGTGGGATCCCAGTGGAACTGTTATTTTACTTCTAGGCCTGTTGCACTGGCATTTTTCAAAACCATCATCACACATCAATAGTCCTAAACCCTATAGATATACTGTTGCACCAACAAAATCTCTTTGATTAGAACTTTTCAATGTTATAACTATAATCGAGACAAAACTTAGAAGAATATACATTTATTTAGCTTTAAGTTAACAGATATGTTAAAGACACATGGTAGATACCTGAAGTTCTTGAGTTTGAGATCTGAGCTGGTGTTGGGAAGCCTCAAGTTCTTTTGCCATTTTCTCAGAAAGAACTGTCATTTTCTCTAGCTAGCAAAAAAAATGTAGTAAACAATACATCAGAATCAAGGGAAATGAAATTTCAGCTTAATTGCCTATAGACTAAAGCTGAAATTTCATGCCGACTCTTTTTCCTGGGAGTAAAATGGCTGATATCACAGCAACGGTCAGCTTGACACTAAATTAAGGATGTTGTTCCCTTTCTGGTGGTGTCGCTGTCTGCTGTATGTTAGTATCTGTAGTTGCCTTAGGTACAGTATATTTTCCGTTCTGCAAGGATTGGATTCCCCAAATAATTTATTAATTTAATGCAGCAGTTGCATGCACATTTACCTGCAAGTCATTAAGTTCAATAAGAGCCTATAGATAAATGAGTTTAGCCTCATAATCTCAGCCTGACTTGGCTTAAATGGTAAAACTACTAAGTTGCTCTAATTGAACAAATCAGTAAAAAAAGGTTATGATGATAAGCATTTTTAAAATGGCTGTGGAAAGTTTACAAGCACAATAAAGGTAGGCTTTTTTTTTTTCTGAATATGGCTCTGGTTATTTCACTGTTTAATTGCTCAAAAAAAGAAGTTCAGCTATTAATTACAGTTCAAAGAAAACAGAACACCAGAAGACAGGACTGCTACCAACAAGGCAAAGAAAGGGCACAGAGCTACCCCATCTGCCTATCAGGAGGGTATGCTGTGGTCTCTGGCTCCATATGACAACTTCAGGGTCAGGCCCATTGAGTCCTACTGGGAAGTCTTGTGGCAGGTCATCTGCTGGCCCTGGGCTGCTTGCAATTTATTTTCCTGACAGTTCATTCTTCTTGCTGACAGAATATTCCTTCTGCTTTTTTTTATCAGTCACCCCTTTGGTCTCTTCCCACTGCTGTCTCTGGCATCAGTTCGCAACAAAACATGTTCCTCAGCCAAAGCCTGCTGAGTTGGCTTTTCAGTTGTGTTGAAGATCAGGTGATGTTCATCCTCCCAAACCCAAATAACAATTCACAGTGGAAATTAAAGGGCTCCACCTCCAAAGGCCACTAAGCATGTGGGTTGTTAACAAAAGAAACTAAGTAATGGTGGTAGTATACCAACACGTGTAACTGCTTCCCTTGTAACTTACTTGTTGGCTCTCAGATAGCAGGAAAGACTTGACTGCAAAGGATTTAAAACTTAGTTCTTGTTTTCAATATTATAGTGGATCAAACACATTCTAAAGTAAGAATTTTGTATTTTTGTATATTTAAGTAAAATTGTAACAGTTTGCTAAAAAAAAATCTAACTTTTTTCATGTACTTAAGTGGCATCAAACCTGTATGTTTTATAGCTCTATCAATAACCCCATTAAAGTGAACTGAATAATCTGAGAAGGTAATGAGATGTACAGTGCTGTGAGAAATCTTACAAAGTGCAATTAGGTTTACTTTTGAGTGGTGAATACAATATTACAATCCAAACTGACATAAATTCAACAGTACCTGATTATGTACACTGTGGGGGCACAAGGATCTCTTTAATTAATTTTAAACACTAAAAACAAAGCTAAAACCAAGTTTAACTATTTCTCCTTTGAGGATGTTAACAAAAATGCTCCAGAAACATCTTTCTTAAAATGCATACATTTTACATTAAGACAGCAAAGAAATCAAATGTAACATTTACCCCTCCAGTGCTAAAGTCTCTACATTTATTCACCTGCTATCAATTTGTACTGGATGTAAACACTTGTAGTAAACTATGTGAACATAGTTCTATATATTGCACTGAATGTGAAATCTTAAATGGGTAATAAAAATCAGTCACGCACAGAGCTTAACTTAAAATAATTGGGCATTACAACATTTCAACGCAACAAAAAAAATCACATAAATACATACACAGAGCTAAACACGTTCTTAAGTTAAAGTGAATCATGACCACAGGGCAAGCTTAAAGAAAGAGCTGTGGCAAAAAATTATTTCTTCTTCTCTGCAAAGCTGTCAACTCAACATTCCCAGTGTTTTGACCTTTGTAACAAGCAAGGAATCTCTAGCATTGTGGGCTGAAGGCTATATATGTGGAGCTGAGCAATGCAACTGTTACCTCATTAGATGCCTCTTCCTGCTTGTTCTGGTAATCTGTCAAGGTACACCTCAAAGTCTCAAGGACAAGAGTGAAGCTCGGAGTTTTATCTTTGTCCTTATGAATGCCTGAAGAAAAATGCAGAATCAAAACAAAGCCCTGAGAGCTGAACAGAGAGACAGGAAAACTTCTCCAAGAGCAACAGAGATATTTAAATCAGGTGGGCTCCAGTGACAATACAGAATGTTGAACAACCCCTGTGTTTTCTCCAAGGCACACTGGTGGATCTGTTCTTTAATATCAAATAAAGCTGAAGAAGAATTTTTGCACTATGGCTACAGTTCACCACATGAAAAAATATGAACTCTGGCTTGTTTTCCGACACATCTTGAGGCCTACCTCCAATCTTATTTAAAGATATCTAATGATTGCAACTCTGCGTGTCGTTCAAAAAAGATCCTCCTCCAAACGAAACACACATTTGCTTTCAAGCGCAGAGACATTCATGCCTTCAGTGATTCATGTTCTGCCATGCATTTTGGAAAGAAACTTTCTTTCTATGCCAAAGGACCACAGGGTTTCCTATTTTGCCTGGGTACAAGTTAAAGCACTTGAAACCTCAAAATATTATTTCTTCTCATACCCCGTACATTTAAAAAATGAAAAATAAAACCCAAATGATTATCTAACCTAATTTAGCTGATGGCCACATTTGTCAATAGTGACATTTCCTAATTCCTCTTTTTCCCAAAAACAGTCTTTTCACTGTTCATTAATTAAGTAGTCATGGCAGACCTTAATCAAGAGTTTAAATCATGGTTCATCAGCCAAGATGTCATCTGTAACCAAATGTAAAATTAATAGTTCAAACAATGGTCACTTCATTAGAAGCACGATGTCTGAGAGTTCAGACTACCATAATTGACTTCTTATTGATATCATTATTATGATTATTATTACTCTGTGTTTTGTATGTATACTGAGAGCTTCTGAACAGGAGACAAATCCTTATGCGTCTAATCACACTTGGCCAAATAAAGCTATTGTGAAGCTGACCTGACAGAAGCCATTTTGAGGCTTCAGTGTTGCCACACTGGAGCTGAGGGATAAGGAGGGGGGAATAGAGATAGCTGGGGGTTTGTAGCCAAAACAAAATACCTTCCCCAAGGACATTCTAACACCTGGCCAAAGAGAGGAGGAGCGATATTACCAGGCGACTGGATGGCACCTTGATTGGACCATGTGACTGATTGTTTGGGAAAGGGGAAAAACTTTTACTTTTAATTAGGTGAAAATCGTGGGAACCTTTAGAGTCTGTTTTCACCAGAACAATACCAACATGATATATCCAATAAAACTATTTTTTGAGGAATCTACCTGCCTCAGAGTTTTATTTGCTATGGATGTGTTACTTAGAACCCTGAATAGAATTCTATTCTATTCTATTCTATTCTATTCTATTCTATTCTATTCTATTCTATTCCTATTCCTATTCCTATTCCTATTCCTATTCCTATTCCTATTCCTACTCTACTCTTCCTGAGAACTGGTATTCAAAATGAAAGCATACATAGCATACACAGGTATAGGATGATTGGATGCTATTCATTTTAAAAATAATTTTCTAAAGTTACTGGAAGCAGCATGATCTGGATGTACAATATGATTTGCACATACTTTTAGCCATTGTGCTTTAAATACAGTTTTCAAAAGGCATGTGGAAATGATTGTTAAATACAGCAAGGTCTTAAGGCTACATAATGGCTAAGCAGATGTGTCCAGAATCTTCAATGCTATACAATATTCCAAAACTGAGCACTGTTAGCTTCTATAAAAATCTGTATTTATGAAACGTATCTAAAGGAATAGGCAAATAACTTTCTGAAGACAATTGGAGATCACTGTGATTTCTTGAGATATTAAAGGCCTTTATTAAGAGAGTTGTTCCACACATATTGGTTTTGGAGGCAATTAGTTCTGCATCTCACATTTCAAAATCACTATCATATAAAAAATGCAATCTAAAAAAAATATTGAGAAAGAAAGAAAGAAAAGAAAAGAAAAGAAAAAAAAAAGAAAAGAAAAGAAAAGAAAGATGCAGCCAGCACAATTCTTTATTCTAAAGACTAAAGACCCTACAAGCCAAGGACATATCATTTTATTCACATTTCTTTTCTTTAAAAATAAAACTCTTTAAATTGGCTAATTTTATTTTGAAGGAAAAGCAACTCCAAGGAGCGTCAATCCAAAATGTGCTCTGTATCTACACTGAACCTCTCCTGTTTCTCATCCATTCATTGTCATTATTGCAACCAAATTTCTGCTTGCCATAGCCACAATTATTTTTGATAAAAACCATGAGAGTCAGATGCTTTCACAACTTGTAGCAAAGAATTATTCTAATGCATTTTCCCCTGGATGTCTCCAATCTCTTTGCTGTGGACGTTGAAATACAAAAAGTGAAGTGAAATAAAGCTATCGAAATGAGAGAATAATGAAAGTGTTTAACTCAAGGATGTTTTGATTTTATTTATTGGATTTCTATACTGTATTACCGCATGGTCACCACTGAATCTGGCCAGATCATGCAGAAAAACAGCTGGCACAGATATCTGTGGAAACAACATACAAACTGTTCTTTGTTACAGTCATCACTGTAGTTAAGGATCGAGAAGCACTGCAAATCTGCACCTTTGAGGAAGTCCAAAACAACTCAAAACCAGATGAATTTCAGTTTTGTACTCATCAACAATACCTTTAGATTGATTAGATGTAATTTCAGCTGCTTCTCCTTTATCTAACCCAGAGATTTCCAAACTTGGCAACTTTAAGATTTGTGGACTTCAACTCCCATGCTGGCTGGAGAATTCTGGGAGTTGAACTCCACAAGTCTTAAAGTTAGTTGATCTAACCCATTGTGAAACTTAAGCAATATCCAGTAGGTCTCCAAAATTCCAGATACTTTCCGAGAATGGTTTCATGAAGGTGTTGAGCAACACTGGACAATAGGGTAGAATCCTGAAAGAAGCCCATTAGCGAAAGGCCATGATGCTGAACAATCATTCTCCAATGCCAGTTTCTGAACACAGCCCAATGAAAGCAACAGAACCAGGATAAAACTGTGCTTCCAAGAGCAGGATCGGTGTAAAATGAACCATGGAATGGATGATCTGTCAATGACAATAGAGCAATACAGAATTGCTCTACAGGAATACTTTCAAATAAATTTCTGGGCTGCAGTCTCTCATGCCCACTAGCAACATATATACTTTCCAAAAATATATAGACAGGGGTGCAGAGTGTGAGTTTGTGAGTGGATTATAATTTGGATCTGTGTGTTGGGTGTGGGAAAGCCTTCTGCACACATTGCCAGCAAATCAGTTGGCAACAGTTGGTCTTTCTATTAACCTCTGCCTCAAAAAAAAGTAATGTACTAAGAAACGTTAAATAAACATGTCAAGCAGAAGTATTTTACGAGAAAGATATTGGATAAAGGGGATAACCTGAAGTAGGTAAGTCACGTGATATTAAAATGTAATATTATTTTATCTGGGATGAGAGGCTTCCTGGGCTCCTCAGAGGGAATAATAAACTTAATAGGTAAGATGTTAAAAGAAAAAATATACTAGATGTTTAAAAAGGAACCACGTGTCCTATATATCTGTTAAGCAGCAGTCTGGTAGCACCTCATCCACCTAACTAATTTTATTAAAAGGCATAAGCTTTCACGAGCTGCAGCTCACTTCATCAGAAGTACACAGCAGCTAAAACTGATGGCTATCTGCTCACTTCTCACATTGCACGTTTCTTTCTATTTGTTTAAATATTTTAAAATTCTCAACTCATAAGCAAAGGCAGCTTAAGTATGAATTCCATTCCAGTCCTGTGATTCCTATGTCCCGGTAAGTTTTCCTTTACCCTGTAGGGTCTCCTTAGAAAACAAATCCACAGATCTGTCTATGGCACAGCCTTGCATTTCCACCCCTCCCCAGTGCTACACTACTAATGGTTTGTTTGCCTAAAACAGGGGTGGGCAACTATGGCTTCTTTATGACCTGTGGACTTCATGGCTGGCTCAGGAATTCTGCAAATTGAAGTCCACAGGTCATAAAGCTGACCATAGTTGCCCACCCCTGCCCTAAAGAAAAAAACTAAAGAAAACGATAATAGTTGCCATACTAGTTGTGTTTGATATTACCCTTAGAAGACTGTGTGTCCAAATTCTCAGCCCCACAAAAGTGCTATTTATTTAATGTATGTTTTACTTTACACCAGAGGTGGGGAATGAAAGCCGCTTTATGACTTGTGGATTTCAACTCTGGATCAGGAATTCTGGGAGTTGAAGTCCACAAGTCATAAAGGGGCCACCCTTTACATTCCCCACCCCTACTTTACTTAAAAACTGGGGCACAGTTCTTTATTAAATTGGCCATAATCATTCATTTGATCTCTCTTGTTTCAATGTGCTGAAACAAGACACGCCCCTGGTCAAAAAGACTTAAGGAAACAACCAAATATCACCTATTCTTCTGTTCAGCCTCAAGATATGACCTACCTATGAGTCTGCTTGATGTAGTGGCACATTGTAAAAATGTTAAGTCTATAGAAAGGAGACAAGAAAGCAATCATCCCACAAAAATAAGATATGGCATATTTCCCACCACCATCTTTTCCCCCAAGACAACAAAGGCAATTCTAACATTAAAACTAAAAATAATACCTACGTACAAAAGCACATGTTCCATGTGAAATAATTCTTTTCAACTTGCTTTGCCTTGGCTCTTTCTTTCCAGGCAGCTCAATCTCCTTTGCCAAAACCTCTGCACTAACCAAGTGGTTCCAAAACACTGTATTCAGAAATGTATTCAATGCTTCTGAAAAGGAGGGAGTGCACTCCTAGCCAATTTCAATACTCTCCGTTCCCTGGTTTCTCTAAGCTTTGTCCTGTGTGTCTTCCCTATCTCCCCAGATGCAGAACGGATTTTGGTTCCAAACCTTTGGCTGGGTTGGATGAGGGCCATGAAAAATTCATGGTAATTACATCAATACTCATTTGCAGTGAAAGCTGAAATGCAAGAGGGAACGGCGAGTAAATCCCCGCTGTGTGAAAGAAGAAAACAAATCTCAGCTATGTAGTGGGAAAGTCCCTGCTTCCAAAATCGTGATAAATACAAACTGGGGCTGCATCACCATGGAACCGAAGGCCAGAAGTCTTCCAGTGCCACTTCTGTCATTGTAAAAGGATGTATTACCAGGATCCTTTCTGTCTAGAATTACTTCCCCCCTGACTTAATGTGGGTGGCCCACTGGCAGCCTAGTCTTGAAAAATAATACAAGGGATGGGACAGATTTATGCAGAAAGAGAGGAAGAGGGGGAGAAGTCATTAAAATATGGTTGTTTTTTTTCACTTTTGGGAGGAAAGAGAAAGGGTTGGGCTAGGCTTAAGACTACTTGATACCATTTGAGGAGATCATTTTAAGGCATACCGTCTGCTTCTGCAATATGCAAGTGTTTGCCCAAAGTAAAATAGAGTTAAACTCTCCTTTGTGAGTTTGGTTACCCTTCTGGCTAACAGAAGCAAACCAACTGGAAAGAAAGGCAGATGTGTGTTAAAGATGGAATTACAGTGGCTCAACAAATCTCCAAAAAATGAGGGAAAATGACCTTTCATCTCTGAAATTTCTTTCAGCACTTCCCTCCATTTGAAATTAACATTACTGATGATGCAGGGCAGACAATGAGGTGGGAAAAAAGCTAACTTCTACACTTGGATTGGGGTGGAATTTGCTTTAGCATCACTTTAAACCAACACTGCAAAGAGTCATGTGATGAACTCTGTGTCCTACACGACTTTTTTCTGAACACACAACCTTTAAGTAGCTGAAGGTTGCCTGTGAATTTGGCTCAAGTGCAATCAAAAACATCTGTTCCCCTGGTAAGTCCGCTGTCAGGACGTTTTTTTTTCATTTGGCTTTCGCAACCTTTCCCAGCCAATCACAAACAATCCAACCCTTGTAAATCAAGTTTGAGCTGACAACAGCAGGTCTGCATTCAGTCACCCCATCTCAGCCAGTGAGGCCACTCAACTGCTGTGAGAGCTGCTCTTAGCATGTCATTGAATCAAAGCATGTTGAGAAGAGGGAATGTAAGGGGCATCTGCAGATTTCCCCTATTTAGCGATGTTGGAACATTGACAGATGCATCTGTCATTTCATAGCTTCAACTAACCTGCTGTCCACTGGCTTGACATAGTAAAGCTGTCCAGAAGTGACTCCAGCTCTCTCACATTGTTTTCACATGTCTCTGCTAGGAAGGCCTGTCGTTTCCTGGTCTTCATTTGGCGGGAATGAGAAGAAAGAGGGGGAAAAAGATAGATAGATATTAAAGGCATAGAAGAGTCATTCATAACCATCAATGCTGTTGCAGGTCACACCATGGATTAACATTTAAGTGAAACAAAAACAAAATTAGAGGAATTTCCCATTACCAAAATAGCAAAATTAAAGAAAAAAGTGGAAAATATTTCAAGGAAGTAATGCTATTCCTGATTAATTTCAAGGTCAATGTTGGATTTTGCATCATTTTAATGTCCTGCTGCCCAAGTAACCGACCAGGAACTAATTAAAACAGTACCCAGGAAACATTCGTATTTTTTCTCCTCTATTGCAAAATACATCCTGGCTGGGATATATGGCAATCCCAAAATTTGGCCTGGCACCAAGGTGCCCCTGAAGAAATCTGATAAGTTGGTCCTCTGCTGAGATGTCTGGCAGATGTATTTAGTTTTGGTTTTCCAAAGTAGCCTCTTTTGTGAAATCTCATCTATAGGAAGCTACAACTGGTGAAAACTAGACTCTGCATTTAAAGCTAGGAAAGTACCTTCCTGATGTACTGTCTAAATATATCTTAACCTTGGGAACTTTTTAAGATGTGTGCACTTCAACTCCCAGCATGGCTGACTAGAGAATTCTGGGAGTTGAAGTCCACACACCTTAAGGTTCCTAAGGTTGAGAAGCACTAGTCTAGATGGAGAACGGGGCAACTCGCCACAGCCAATTTGTTGTGGCTATGTCACCACGGCCATCTCGACACAGCCAAATTGCTGCAGCCAACTCTCTACGGGACAACTCAATGCAGGACAATTCCATGCGGGATAACTCAATGCAATAAATGTTATCTGCCTCTGTTCTTTCAACATTATTTCTATTGAAAAAAATGGAAATAATGTTGAAGAACCAGTGGCGGATAACATTGCATGGAATTGCATGGAATTGTCCCGTGGCGAGTTGTCTCACAGCAAGTTGGCCTCAGCAAGATGGCCACGTGGAAATGGCCACAGCAAGATGGCTGCAGCAAGTTGGCTGCGGCGATTTGTCCAAGACTCTCTAGTTGACAAGCAGCAAAGACGAAATGTAATCCTTGACCAGGCAAAGCAAAAAAATATCTCTAAAGTGGCAGTTGGCTTTCATTCGCCTTCTGTAAGATTAGGGATAAGTATTCAGAAAAAGAGCAAAGCAAGAAAGAAGTCAGAGGAACCAAAAGATCTTGCATACATCAAAACAGTCAGAAGATTTTTCTTCAGCCAGCATCTCTGCAATGTGTGGAATCCAAGATCTTCTTCAAAGATATAGCAAATCAACTGATTATATTTATTTTATTCCTAATTGTTTGTTTGTGACTGTTTCTTTCCCTTGTTTTCTCTTATTTCCCCTTTTCATCCCTAAAGATTGAGCTTCATTACTTTTAGCATGAAATTCCTTATTTTTTTTGTATATATTTACCATTTCTACATGTAAAACTATGCAGTTGCATAGTTACATGAGCAGCACATGGTTAGTTAAGTTCCATAATCTAGGGCTTTGGCTAGGAAGATCCAAAGTATTTTCCTTTATTTTCTTAGAAAAGGGCTGACAAAATGTTCTTGTGTAGAAAGCCAAAGAGCTAACCAGCTTTGTTTAGTTCACCAGAGGTGGAGGCGTCTAATTGAGTATTACCAGTTACTGATGATACCTCACCTCATGACAATGGATGATTCCATTGGCTGCATGTGGATGTTAAACAGAAGTGGAGAGAGATTGAACCCTGAGGCATCCCACACGGTAGGGCTGATGGTGAGATATCTCATTCCAGATCAATACTAGCTAGTATCAGTCCTTTAGGAAGGAACCAGCACAAAACTATGCCGCCTGTTCCCAATCCTCAGAGCTCATCATTGTCAATGGCACTGAAAGCCACCAAGAGGTAAAGTACAGTTAGGATGGACACACGACCCCCTCCCTCTAGAGAGCGTCAAAAACTGCAACCAATGTCATTTTTTGTCCCATGTCCAAGCCTAAATCCTGATTGAAAAGATTTTAGTCATGTTTTATTCAGGGTTCACTGAACCTGCTGTGTGATCAGCTTCTCAACAACCTTCCCTTAAAAAAGGGAGGCTGGGCACTGGATGAAAATTGTCCATATGGTGGGATATAGCAATGGCTTTGTTAAAGTCTTGGGATTTAAGAGCCAACCAGCAGTGAAGCTGATGCAATATAGGCTGATGTAATAAGAATGAATCAGCATAGCATGGGTTTTTCCTTTTAAGACTGGGGGTGGGTTCTATCCCTATGTTAGGTATAACATTGATACCAAATATGGTTTGGGTGAATAAAT